TTTATTGTAGTCTGAAGGTACTCTCTGCCCGATTCTATTCCCCCACTTTTAAAAAACTGTCTCTCATTTACTGAGCAGATAGGTATGTTGTACTGTGGACTTTACTGGCCTAGGTGAAGGAAAGAGCATTCTCCTCCCTCCTTCAGCAGAGGTAACCACGGAAGGTGAGGGGAGTTAGAATGGGTGGCGAGGAGGGGGACAGAGAATACCTCCTGGGGTCCTATGACCCACTGCAGTGATGGGGGCTGTCCCCTCAGGAGGAGAGGCCCAGGGGGACCTTGGAGGAGCAGTTCCCTGACAGCGTGTGGAGCAGTGGACCTTCATGGCGCAGGGTGGGGAGGACTGTGGCGGCCGTGGAGGGGCACCGCTCAGCCCGGCCTTGGAGAACCAGCTTCCAGCTCTGCCGAGCAGGGGTGCGGGAGGAGGCGCCCTCAGCTGCTGGGCCTTCCGCACCCAGCCCATCCTCTCTCTGTTTGCAGAGTGGTTTTAGGCTCAGAGCAGTGGTGAGCAGGAGGCCCAGAGATTCCCACACCCCCCGCCCCTGACACATACAGGCCCCCCACTTCCAGCGCCCCGGACCAGAGTGCACACTGGTCGCAGCTGACGAACCGGCACTGACAACGTCGTCGTCACCACCAAGTCTGCAGCTCGATTTCGGGCTCGCGCTTGGTGGTGCTCCTCCCGTGGGTTTGAGCAAACGTATAACGACCTGTATCCGCCACTGTGATCTCTTAGAGAACAGTTCCGCTGCCCTACAAATCCTGTGCTCTGCGCGTCCTTCCGTCCCTCGCCCATATCCCCTGGCAACCACTGCTCTTCGTACTGTCTCTATGCTTTTTCCTTTTTTCCAGGAAGTCCTATTGTTGGAACAGTACAGTGGGCAGCCTTTACTGGCTCCTTTCGCTGAGTGATGTGTATTGAAGGTTCCTGCATGCCTTTTCCTGCCTCCACAGCTCCTTTCCTTCTGGCATCGAGTAATATTCCATTATCTGGACGTACCCCCATTTATCTACTCATTCAGTTTATGGGCATCTTGGCTGCTTCCCAGTTTGGGCACTTAGGAACAAAGCTGCTGTAACGTCCACACGCAGGTTTCTGTGCAGACATCACCCCGGCTTCTGAGCGGCAGCCACCTTCCTCTGGGCCAGATGCACCGGGGACGGGGCGTTTGTGCCCAGCGCAAAGCTTCCCTAACAGACGGCCTTCGCCCCAGAGCCCCGTGTTGGGTTGGCCGACTCTTGGTCAGACCTGCACTGAGGTCTGAGGTGTCCCCTGCCCAGTTCTCCCCCCTCCCCTTTTATCTTTCACAGGATTTAGCGCCCAACCCCATCCCAGGGTCCGCTCCCCGGAGGACCCAACCGACAAACTGCCTCTACATTCAGTCCACAGCCCACCCGGTTCTCTCCACCGGCAGGACCTGCAAGCCCCCATTCCTTTCACCTGGAGGCAGGATGGCCCCCAGGGGGTCTCCCTGCTTCCCCTCCGATCCCTTTGTGACTCAATCTCCATGCACCTGCCAGAGTAGCCTTCTACAACACGGACCCCAAGCTGTCACTTCCTCCCAATTGGGCTGAGAATCAGGCAGCCCCTTCCCCCCGCCTGGGCAGCCCCCCTCGACCTCGCTCCGCCTTCCTCTGCAGTTCACTCCGCTGCAGCCCCATCGGCCCTCTTTCTGTTTCTGAAACACACCAAGTTCATTTCTGCCTCAGGGCCTTTGTACCAGCTGTTCCCTCTGCTGGGAACACTGGGTCTTTCCCCAAACACCTGCATGGCTGGTGCGTCAGATCGTTTGGGTCTCAGCTCGAGGCAGGTCTTTCCTCCCAACCTCATAAACAATGTCCATCTCCCAACCCCTCCCCTGTAACTTTCTATCATATTACTTTTAAATTTTAAACTACTTTAAAATTTCATATTTTTATTGCAGTTCTCATTACTATCATCAATTAACTTTTTTGTTTAATTATTCATTTGTTTACTGCCCGGCCTCCCCACTAGATTAGAAAGTGGGGGCTAGTCTGCTTCCCAGCTCCCCCCGGTGCCTGGCACAAAGTCCATCTCCAAACATGTACCTTGAATGAATGACTATGTTTGTTCATTTAGGGCTGAATCCTCTTACCCTAAGAATGGAGTGAAAGTGGAGAAATAAAAAAATCTAGGGGACACGAGAATTTAAAGGGAAAATATGGGGACATTCGCCGCCTATAAAGGTCCCCCTGAGAATACTGTTCTGACCATCTCTTGAGGAGTTTGGGTTAGGACTGGGGTGGGGTTCTCTCCCAGACCACCAGTGAGTCGTGTTTCAGAAGCCCCCCCTCCCCCACCTCTCGCCTCTGCCCTGGGCAGCAGCAGCGTCACCTGGCCTGTGAAGAGACTAATTCAGTCCACATTTGCCAGGTAATTACCGCATTTTTCAGACCATAAAACACACTTCCTCCAAATTTGGGAGGAAAAGGGGGGTGTGTCTTATAGTCCGAATGCAGCTTACCTGGCTCGCTGTGTGTGGGGGCGGCGGCCTATGTTATTTATGTTATTAACTATTTTACCACATTTTTTGCCTCAAAAAATTGTTTCCTGTTTTCCTTCTCTAAAACCTAGGTGTGTCTTATGGTCTGGTGTTACAGTCCGAAAAATTTGGTACCTGGGGCAGGAACCCTGCTGGATGCTGGGGATGAAATGAGTCAAGGAAGGAGGGGTGGCCTTCCAGGTGAGAGACGGCATGAACGTAGGCAGGGACAGACCTTCCGGGATATTTGGGGAATGATGTGCAGTTGATAGGCAGTGAGGGACAGGACACCAGGCTGGAGGGGTGAGCAGTGTCCAAATTACCCACAGTCTTACAAACCAAGAGCAGCCAACGTAATGAGACCCGGTGCTTGTGGAAGCTTTATTCCTTTATTCCTCACGTTATGGTTTGGAAGCTGGGGCAGGAGAGGGCGTCAAGCACTGTGAAGGGCCTCCTTGCAAAATAGGTCACATAACTGGAAACAGGCTGAAGCAGGGCTTTGAACTAGACCTCTGGCTCTGGAATCCATGCCCTTGACCAAGAGGCAATACTACCTCTTATGGAGATTGGACTTTATTCTACAGGAATGGGGAGCCACCAACGGCTTTGTAAGCAGGAAAAGGACCTGTTCGTATGACAAGTTTATAAAGGCATCCTGACAGATAAACAGACCAATTTAAACACGATTTGACTCCAGCCTCTGAACCCATTATCCAACTGTCCCCAAGGCAGTTCACACACAGGTGGCACCCCTGGGGGCCCGAGCCACAGCAGCCCCTCTCCCAGCCTCCCGTCCTTCCCTGGATTTTCTACGACAGTTTCTCCTTGGGATGCCACACGGGTGCTTCTGTCTTCCCAGAACACACGTGGATGCACCAGGAGTCTCCCTGCCTCATGCGCCCTCAGGTCCTCCTGGGCCCCTCCAGAGAGGCCCCTCCACGGTGGGCTGTCTGGAGGGGGCTGCAGGCCCCTGCTCCAAGGAGGACTAACACGTCCATGCACACTCGGCTCAGGGGTTCACAGTGTGGAGCTCACGTCTGCTTCACTCCCACTTCACAGCTCAGGTGACTCCGAGTCCCAGAGCTCCCACAAGGAGGGCAGGCATCGTCCCGGGGCTGGGGGTGGAGGCGGGGCTGGAGCATGTGCCCAGTGCCCAAGCAGGATCCCCCAGGCCTGCTGCCTCCTGAGAGGTGTCCCGGCCCTCCCCACACCCAGCCCTGTGCGCAGCCTGCACGGCGGCCATGGTGGTCCAGAGTCCCAGTCTGAGTCTCCTTTCAGATCAAGAACGTGCGTGGGCTTGGAAGGGGGACAGGCCGGGGTGCAGCCTGGGCTCAGGACCAACCTGGGTTCGGCCCCGACCAGCGACCATGAGCCGCATCCCCTCTTCTCCATCTCAAGATGCAGGGTGAACGTCCACAGTTGTCCACACCCCTTCCAGCCCTGGGAGTCCACTCTGATAAGGAAATGCCTCGTGGAAAATTGGAACTGGAGCTGGATCGTGAAGGATGGTAGCCCTTTTTTTCCCTTAAGATTTTAATTGCAAAGTTAATTTGCAACAAAATATATATAGACACTTTTGACAGGCTCCTCCTCCACCCCCACACCACATCCCACTCCCATCCCTTTTCTTCCTCCCAGCACCTGGTCGGCATGCCCACCAGGGTCTGCCTGCAGACTGCCTCCGGGAGAGGGGTCTTCTCTCCCGATGGTCTGTGCCTCCAGCCAGTCAGAGGAGGGACTCTGGCTGCCCTTTGACATCACAGGAAGACTTTTTTCTTTGGACAGGTGTGGAGGAAAGTGAACCCTGCTCCATCAGGAGGGTGGGGGAGGGAGGTGACAGAGGCAGGTGGCCATAATATAAATAGAGATTGGGCCAAAATCTACACCTCCGCCCCCCCCCCCCGCATTGGCCTCCTTCCTTCCGCTCCCCACGCCCACCCCAGCTGCACCCCATGGTGCGCCCCGTCGGACCCGCTGCAGCCCAAATGCTACACCCACATACACCAGCGGTGTGACCTTGGACTGCGACCTGACCTCGGGGAGCCTCAGTTTCCTCATTTGTATCTTGAGCATGCCCACGGTGAGGCCTCATGGGGACCAGAGTGTAGCTCACTCAGCACAGAGCGTGACTGGGGGGTGGGGGGAGGGAAGCTCCCAGAAAGGTAGCTGTTGGCATTACCAGTTCGGGAGGGGGCAACACTGGAGGGATGGGGTGGGGTCACTAAGAGGTCCTGCCGCTCGGCCTTCGAGTCGCCGCCCTCTGTGACCCGAGCAGAATAAACCTCTCAGTGTCGCCACGTGCCTCTCGCCGCAACCCGGGCGGAGCCCCCGCCTCTGCGCCCGGCGTGGAAGGAGTGCGGGGCTGGACCAGGGCCGGCCCGGGGGAGCCGGCGGGGCGGGGCCGCAGAGCCCGCTCCCCCTCCCCTCCTGCCCGCAGCCTTCTCCTCCTCGCGACGCCCGGGCTCACAACGGTGGCAGCAGCGGCCGCGGCAACATCTCCAGCTCCTGCTCCGGCTCCTCCCGCTCCGGCCCCGCTCCGCCCCGCGCTCCCGGGCCCCGCGCCCCGACTCCGCCGCTGCGCCTGCCGGGGGCCTCGGGAGCCCCCGCCGCCCGCCTCACGCTGAAGTTCCTGGCGGTGCTGCTGGCCGCGGGCATGCTGGCGTTCCTCGGTGCCGTCATCTGCATCATCGCCAGCGTGCCCCTGGCGGCCAGCCGGGCGCGGGCGCTGCCCGGAGGCGCCGACAACGCCTCGGCCGCCTCAGGTGCTGCCGCCGCGTCCCCGGGCCCGCAGCGCAGCCTGAGCGCACTGCACGGCGCCGGCAGCTCGGCGGGGCCCCCGGCGCTGCCGGGGGCGCCTGCGGCCAGCGCACACCCGCTGCCGCCCCTGCCCCTCTTCAGCCGCTTCCTGTGCACGCCGCTGGCGGCCGCCTGCCCGTCGGGGGGCGAGCAGGGGGACGCGGCGCTGGGCGAGCGCGAGGAGCTGCTGCTGCTGCAGAGCACGGCCGACCAGCTGCGCCAGACGGCGCTGCAGCAGGAGGCGCGCATCCGCGCGGACCAGGACACCATCCGCGAGCTCACCGGCAAGCTGGGCCGCTGCGAGAGCGGCCTGCCGCGCGGCCTGCAGGACGCCGGGCCCCGCCGCGACACCATGGCCGACGGGCCCTGGGACTCGCCCGCGCTCATCCTCGAGCTGGAGGACGCCGTGCGGGCCCTCAGGGACCGCATCGACCGCATCGAGGTGAGCGCCACGCCCCGCGCCCCGCGCCGCGTCGTCCGGGGCGGGCCGGGGTGGGAGGGGCCGCTCGAGGCCTTCGTGGGGTCTGGCCACCACCGCCGCGCGGAGGGACTCTGGGGGACCCCCGCGTGTATCTGGTCCGTGGATCTCCCATCTCTGCAAAGGGGACGATGGTTCCCTCCTCGCAGGCGAAAAGGAAGAATCCCGCTGGGCGTGCGGGCCGGAGGCTGGTGCGGAGTCTGAGGTGCGGGAAAGGCTCGCTCGCAGCAGCTTTCCTCCTGGCACCAACGCGAGCCTCGGCTTCGGTGACTGTGAAGTGGGTGTCCCGGCGTCCGTTTGTAGTGAGGACTGACCAAAATGTAGGTGTGTGAAATGTTTGGCACGAATTCGGGTCTCATTGAACGTCCGTGCGTTCCCCTCTTTCAGACCGCGCGGCACGGCAGCACCCGCCCCCACTCACTTCCCGTGGTCAGGGCACGGGATGCGCTGTCCCAGCGACTCAGTCCCTTTTGGCTCCTGCCGGAAAGCCGGGAACAGCGTGTCCCGTAAGCCAAGCGGTGTGCTCCTGGCCGCCTCCCACCCCGTACCGCACCCGGGCAGTAATAGTAACACGACCTGGGTGGGAGCTCAGGTGGCGCCCTCCCAGCCAGGATACCTGGAAGCCGGCGGCTCTGGGTGGGGACTGAGTGGAGAACAGGGTTCCTCCTCCTTCTTCCAGCCACCTTTTCAGACATTCCTGGCTCAAGCTGGAAGTCAGTCACAAGAGGTCTGACCCAGTAGCCTGCTCTTGGTGGTCCTGTGATCCTGGGTCAGTGATTTCTCCTTTGAAGTTCCCAGACCCCCACCTGCCTGTGAGAACCTATTTAGGGTCCCCAAGAGGGAAGCTGGACAGACTGGGAAGAATAGGCATCCGGGAAACACTGACGGCCCCCAGCCATTTACAATTTCCAGACTGCAGGGGAAGGGGTTAACAACCAAATTGGATCTGTGAAAGGAAAGGGAGAGAGAGGCCGCCCCCTTCTGCCTCCCCCCAACCCAAGTGTGGCTGGCAAAGGCAGAGAGGGGACAGAGACTGGAAGGAAGAAAACGTGGGGACCCCAGCCGCACCCCGGGCTCTGTCTGTTAAACCTCTGGCTCAGCAGCACAGGCGACCTGTGGAAGGTTGGCCGAGCCCAGGGTCCAGCGACCCTTCAGAAAGCGGGCGCTGGGGTCAGCTCCCACTGCACAGGGTGCTGTTGCAGACAACCCTCTCGGCTTGGGTCTCCGAGGCCTCCACATCCGAGCCTCAGAGGCAGGAGGAAACCCTGGGGGTCTTGTCCGCCAGGCCAGCACTGCCTTCCCCACTCCAGCTCCGGGGGGTTTCTAGGAGGAGAGCGGAGAGCAGGACATAATAATAATAAACGCTGCAAAGCGGCAGCGAAGGGGAGCCAGTTCCCTCCCTTGTAAAATGGGGACAATAGCAGCACCCACCTCGCCGGTGTGTTAGGAGTGCTAAGTGCCAAGGGCCCAGAGCAGAGCGTGGCAGAGGTGTGCTCAGTCAGTCTGAGTGGTTGCTATTCCTATCACTAAGCTATAACATTACTCATTTTTAATTTTTATGTATTTATTTATCTTTGTCCTCCCCTGAGGACATTTTTTCTTTGCTTTTGAGAGAGAGAGGAACGGAGAGAGGAAAGGAGAAAGAGAAACATTGATGCAAGAGAGAAGCATCGATTGGTTGTCTCTTGTACGTGCCCAGGCTGGGATAGAACCTGCAACCTAAGCATGTGCCCTGCCTGGGAATTGAACCCTCGACCTTTCAGTTATGGGATGATGCTCCAACCAACTGAGCCACACCATCCAGGGCACTAATTTTTTAAATAGCCAAAGATAAATGTGGGAACGACCTCTCCTTTTAGGAATAAATTTTATTAATGTAAGAAAAAAAGATTTGGTTTTCAAAACACTTCCTCTTGCCTGCCCTAGCCCCTGCCCCCACACCCAGATGGCGCCGGTGGGTCTTCCTGTGTCTGGGGCTGGCAGGGCTGGGCTTGCCGCGGCCCCGTTCCCCCAGCACCTGCGCCTTTGGCAAGGTGGGCTCTCCTCCGCGTGGCCTGCCGAGGTCGGGGCTATCCTGGCAGCTGGGCTTTGGCACTGTTTGCCTCTCAGGTTGGGGGAGTTCTGGCTCCGCTACACACGCCCTCCTGCTTTCTGTGTGCAGCATGCACAGAGAGAGAAAGGCAGGGCTGCGTGCCCGCCAGACCTTTCTGAGCCTGGCTGTAGCCGGAGCCAGTCTCTTTAGGGTCTTTGAGAGGAGCTGGGGTCTGGTTCCCAAAAGACATCGGGTCAGACTGGTGGTCCCAGTGGGACTCCATCCACCCATCAGACACTGTCCAGTTCTCTGTTCTCTTCTCATTCAAAATCCTTGGAGGGATGTCCCCACAGGTTCAGGGTCTACCTTCTCTCCACACATCTTTCTCTCACGGTAGCACAGTGACACTGATGAACTGAACAGAACGTGTCAGTCCTGATCTCGATGGACCCCTCTCTGACATCAGACCTGGTTAGTCATTCCCCCTACAAGTCACCAAGCGCCTGGCTCCTGGACACCCCCCACCCCTGGCCTCTCCCCCGCTCTGCTTTCCTGCCCCTCTGGGGTCCTCCTCCTGTAGCACTTGCTCCTCTGCTGGCCCTCCTCTCACTCTCCCCGGGTGAGCTCGGCCACATCCTGAGGCTCCAGCTCCCATCCCTCCGTGGTGCTCCAGACCAGCTGCATCTCCAGCCTAGGTTTCTCTCCTGAGCTCCAGACCAATGGATCCCACTGCTCCCTGAGCCCCGCCCCCTGGGTATCCCACCAGTCCCCTGCTCTCTGCGTGTCCCAGCCTGAAGTCAGGCCCTCGGCCTCTCAGGTGTGCCCTGAGGGGCGATGCCTGGTTCCTCCCCCTTCCACTTGGCCTCAGCTCTCTGTGGACACTTGCACAGCCTCTCACTGGTTTCTCGCCCCCAGGCACACCCTCCCATCCTCACACCCTCCTCCAGGCAGCCCCAGGGATCGTCCTTCAGGCCACTGTGGGCTCCCCTGTGGTGCAGACCCCTCGGCCTGCTTCCAGGCTGCCATTTGGCACCTGGCCCGTCTCCTAGGCCCTTCTTGCCTCTGCCTGGATAACCAACCCCTAGCATATCCATCCTCATCACTTAAGGGCATTCTGAGGCCCCCTCCTCCCAGAGACCCTCCCCGACACACTCTGTCCACTTCCTAGCCTACTCGCACTCCCATAATCCTCAGCACATCCCTGCCCGTCCTCACCTGGCGCGTTTCTGCATCGCCTCGCTCCCCACCCCCAGGGCCGTGACCAAAGGGGGACAAGGTCACGCTGGCCCAGCCTGTCTCTCCAGCCCTCAAGTGGGGGCCATGTCTGAGGGCTTAGGAAAAATTGTCCTCCTTTATATTTTTATTTGTGTTATCATTGCCGTTTGTGTTAGTTGGAAAAAAACCCAAAGTTCTTTTGGAGTGGGAAATCACATTTAATTCCACCCCTTTATTCGTTTTGCCACTCCCTTTCGGTCCTTTGTCCAAATGTAGACACAGTTCCCGAGCCGAGACGTGGTTCATTGCTGGTAGTTAGTTTACTGACCGCTGCACTATCCCAGGTCCGGGGCACGCCCCGCCCCTCGGCCCCTCGGCCCCTCGGGCATCTCTTGTTGATGGAGATGGAGGCTGTTTCTGATTTTTGTTCTCCTCGATGCTCGTTGCAGGATCAGTTTCTTGCAGATAGTTGAGCTTTTTTTCTTTTTAAGTCTGTTGAATTATTTCTTTGGGCCAGACTCCCAGGAGTGGTATTACTGGGTCAGAGGATATTGACTTCCCAGGGCTGTGGCCAAGAACCACTTTCCAGAAGCTCTGGACCTTTCGTGTGGCAACCGGCCATGTACACATATCCCAGTGTCCCATTTTTGGGCTAATTTATCTGTAAAATGAGACTTCAGGATGGGTTTCAGCAGTCATTCTTTGACATAAACCACATCCTTCGCCCAGCCTAGCAAGGTGGTCGTCTTGGAGAGCGAGCTGTAGTCAGGAGCACCTGGTGGCAGTCACAGAAGACCCTGCACTCACAGCACTTATAGCTCCCACCGAACACTTCCTGTGCATCAGACGCCGTACATTCTCACTCAATCCTCATAAAGTCTCCATGAGGGAGGTCCTCGTCTATCCCCTTTCACAGGTGAAAAAACCACGGTTCAGAGAGGTTAAGAAACTGGCCCAGTGTCACACAACAGTGGCATCAGGATTTGACCCTGTCGGTGTCTGGCACCAGAGCACTGTTCTTTGTTACTAACTCTAGACCCATTGGGAGGGACCAGACCTCAACCACCTTCAGGAGAGTAAGAAAGACCGGGGAGGGGCAAGGCTACTGCTGGATAGCGTCCCGAGCCATTTCTGCCTCAGCGAACCCAGAGCCAGAGCCATGAGAGTGAGGGCCGGTCCTCAAAGGCCAGTCCAGCTGGCTAGCAAGGTAATGAGGAGGGTCCCGTGGGAGCCTCACTAACAATAACCGCACCGAGAAGTAACGTTCATTAGGCGCTTACTGCGTATGTATTAGCTGATTCAGTCTTCAGCCCTGTGCAGTAGGGCCAGGGATGTCCGACCTGCAGCCCATCACAACATCGTAAATTTACTTAACACGTTATGAGATTTGTGTGTGTGTGTGTGTGTAATTACATATCGCAATGTATTGAATCTGTGGCCCAAGACAACTCCTCTTCTTCCGGTGTGGCCCAGAGACGCCAAAAGTTTGGACCCCCCTGACTGGGGGGCTGCACACTCACGGATAAGGAAGCGGGGGACTCACAGAGTCTGCAGGAACCAGAGCAGGTGGGCTGGGCGCTCCCGGAACACATTCCAGCTGGAGATGGTCTCAGCGGGAGGAAGGGCAAGTGGCGTGAAGTTGAGATCTTTTTGCTTGCGACTTTAGGCTAAGTGCTGTTCCTCTTTGGGCCTCAATTTTCCTATCTTTAGAATGGATTTTCCTTGCTGTTAGCGCTCTCGCGGATATGGCGAACGTTCCTAAAACCTGCCGGCCTTTCTGTAAGGCCGAACCCCAAATCCATCCTGCGCCCGAAGCTCCCACGATTCTGCCGGTCACTGCAGACCAGCTTTGCCGTGTTTGAGCTTCCTTCAGATGGACTCAGACCGCTACACCCCTTGTGTCTGGCGTTTCCATTGCGTCCGACACTCTGTCGGGCGAGCGCCCCGGGGCTCTGCTGTTTCCAGCGCCGCGTGAAGGTGCGGATGCACCGTCGCTGACTTACCCGCCCCTCCTACAGGTGGGCACGTGGGTTGTGTCTGGTTTGGGGTTAGAACAAGTAAAGCTGCCGTGAAGGTCCCGGTGGGGGATTTTGGTGGCTGTGGGCCCTCCTTTCTCCCGGCTGCGTCCCCAGGAGTGGGATGACGCCTCGGCCCCGGGAGAGGCACGGATTCAGCGTTAGGAGGCGCTGCCAAACACTGCCCCGCCCAGGTGGCAGCGAGTGTGCACACACCCACCCGCCTGCGTGGGGATCTCGCCAGTGCTGGTGTGGTCATTTAAAAAGCCTTCCTCGTTCTGGTGGGTGTGCAGCGCACACATGGTGCTTTCCATTAGTATTTCTCTGATGACTCATGAAATCGAGCATCCTTTCCCTGTTCTTTGGCCATTGTACGAAGTCCCTGCCTGTGGGAGGCGGCGCAGGTCAGCAGCGGGCTGTCCTCAGGGAGTGAGAGGAAAGTGGGGTTTCCCCGGGGCAGACTTGGGGGCATGACCCCCACCGAATCCTGGGGGAGGGGTTGCAACAACCAACCCAAAGTGGAAGCACTTACGTACGTAGCCCTCAGACACGCCTCATTGGACTCAGGGGAAACTAAGGTTCAGAGAGGCAGAGTGACTTGCTCAAGGCCACACAGCACAGCAGAAGCTGAGCAAAGACCACGGCCAGGACCATCTGTTAAAATGGGCCGAGGGGAGGGGCCTCTGCCTTTGCTGCAGATTTTCCACCAGGGCCCAGAAGGTGTGTGGGCAGGCAGGGCCTTCTCAACGCACTGGCTTGTCGGGAGTACTTGGAGGGAGCGGCGAGGGTCCCTGCGGCTGAGGTGTCCTGTCACTTCCTCCGGGGCCCCCGAGCCGCCTCACTCCCAGCCCCAGACGCCCACCCACAGGAGAGGGTCACCGCTGTCCTGCATTTGCGTTTACCTGTCCAGGCATTTCCTCGTGCTTTTACAAACACGTGACCTGGTTTCGAATCTCTACAACTTGATTTTAGTGGTATCTAACTGATCTATAACTTGCTTTTTTCCTCAATGTAATGATTAAACAAAAAGATTTATGATTGGAGATGGAGAAGCATCGGTCCCTTCTAGAGATATCTGAGTATATATTATTAGTGATAATTACTGCTGTTTACCTAGCACTCCATGGGCCGCCTCTGTCTTGGGGCATTACATCTACTAATTCATTTAATTATCACTACAATGCTATGAGATATTATTATTATTACTGATGGGGAAACTGAGGCACGGCAGCTTTTCATGACAAAGTCCTGGGCTGGTGGAGCCAGGGTGCCTGCCTGGGCAGACTCACAGAGGACGTGAGGGACGGCGGGATGGGGGAGGCGGAGACCTGACTCTAGGAGCTGGGCCCGTGCTGTCCCGGGCAGGGGGGCGCCGTGCAGAGGGTAGGACCCCAAAGCCAGCACCGCCCCTCTGCTCCCTGAAGGAAAGGAGCAGTCCCCACCTGGGGACAAGGTGGCTGCGTTCTCCCCACTCCTCCAGCCTCTGAGCCGCCCTGCGTGGGCAGGTCCTTCCTGTCCGGTCCCTCTGCAAAGCTGCCCCAAATCATCCTCTGACACAGACCGCCAGACCCTCCCCACCCGCTCGTGGCCATCAGAACCTCTTCTGCGGACTCTGGAGGCAGAGCAGCCAGCACAGTGCCCCCTTGGCAGACCAGCAAACTGATGGCCAGGGAGAAGGGAGAGAGGCTCTGGAATCTGAAGGGCCTGGGCTGGGGTCCCGGCTTTGTCACTTCACAGCTATGGGAGCTTCAGCAGGTGTCTTCACGTCCCTGAGCCTCGGTTCCCTCAGCTGGAAAGTGGGCTTCATTCCTCCCGGTTGCTGGGGGCACTAGGAGGTGTCTGCGCAGTGCTTCCTCACTGCGGGGCTGGCCCACCGTGCGCGGCCATGAGGACAGCCTCTGCCACACTCCTATTGGGTACTGACGGCCCGGCACATTGGCTCTGAGCCGAACAAAAACCCTGGGCTCTGCGACCAGACTCCAAACACTTACAGCACGTCCTGCCCTTGGCCCCCAGCACGACACCCAGTGGGTTCTGAGCCCCCACTTTCCTGCCTCATCAGGACCTGAGTGGGGCTGAGGGCTTCATCCTCTCCCCCACCATCTTGGGCTAGGGGCCCACTTGGCATCAGGCCAGGAGCCCACACGGCACAGCCCGCACCCGCAACAGATGGGAAACTGAGAGGGGGCTGTCATGTTCCTCTGATTCAGACGCCGGGGTGGGGAGGGGGCCACACACGATCCGGGGAGCCCACCTCCTCCCCAGCCTTCCTGTTGGCGGCAGAGCTGGTGGCTCTGACAAAAGAACAGCTTGCGCACCCACCTCCGTCGCCTGCACGGTTTCTCCCTGCAGCGGCGTCTGTGTGAACAGCGCCCACGTCCTGTCCCCTCCTGGCAGGTCCGGCTCCCTCCGCGGGGGGAGGACGCTGTGCTAGAGAAGGCTTTGGCTCGAGAGGCGTCGGCTTTGCCCAGCCCCAGCGTAGAAAATTCAGAAGGGTCTGCCTCAGTCTCCTCATCTGCAAAACGGGACACTGAGAGTACCAACAAAACCGAATGAGGGGTCTGAGGGTTCGTGAGCAAATACGTGTCGAGCGCCAAGGATGGGCCTGGCACACTCATTCCGAGGCGTGCCCCTCACAGCGAGCGTGGCACAGTGGAAGGAGGGAAGCTGAGGACCCCCAGCCGCGGCCCTTCAGCACTGAGCAGGAGTGCACTTCACGGGCCCGTGCCTCGGGCCCAGGCTTCCTGGCAGTCCGGCCACGGGGAGCGCAGTGTGTGGCTGGCCCTGTCCCTCTGTGGGCCGTCTGGGGTCAAGGGAAGGTTCCGGAGGCAGCAGCTGCCTGTCAGCCGATGCGTTACAGTTCACGTTCTGCTGTTACAGCGCTGGAGGGCCTTTACTTCTGAACGTGTACCCTGGGGGTGGGCGGAGCGGGGCCAGCGGTCCCTTCTTACAGGAGGGGAAGCTGCGGCATCGGGTTGAGTCAGCACGAGAGTCTGGATTCCTAGAACCCTGGGGAGAGGGAAGGAGCCTTCGGGACAGTGAAGGTCAGTATAGCGAGGGTCAAGGTGAGCCCACCCACCCCCATCTCGGGGTGGCGTGGCAGGACGGAGTGTTGGTCCCTGCAGCACCGCCTTCCCAGACAGCGATTGTGATAACCAAGCTGTGGTCTTTGGCATTTACTGCCAAGTCACCCCCCCCCAAACCTCAATAGGTACAGTTGCCTGTGCTGCATGCGAGCAGCCCAGAGTTTAGAGAGGTGGAGACATTTGCTCAGGGTCACACAGCAGATTGGCTCTCCAGCTGGATTTGAACCCTGAGCTGTCTGACTCCAGAATCCGTGATCTTACCCACACGCCACCCTGGATGGCAGGACTGGAGCGCTATCCCAGAAGCCCGTGGGTCTTCCTGGTACCCAAACAGAGCCCTGCCCTGTTGCAGAAAGGCTTGGCAAGTGAATGAGGGGAGACTAACACAGCCAGTGCACACCCTTCCGGTCATGGGGCATCAGCTGTGGCTGTGAACTGCGACTGCATGTTAGAGCCCATGCATATAGGGAAGCTGAGGCTCACCGAGGGTCAGTCAGCAGAGGTGGGGGGGTCTCCGAGCCCTGTGTCCCTTCCCTGCCTCCCTCTGAGTGGCCTTACATGCCCTGTTCTCTACCTCTTAAGCAGCAGGAGCTCCCAGCCCACGTGAACTTCTCAGCTGCCCCTGCCCCTGCCTCTGCGCCCGCGGTGCCCACCGCCCTGCACTCCAAGATGGATGAACTGGAGGGGCAGCTGCTGGCCAAGGTGCTGGCCCTGGAGAAGGAGCGCGTGGCCCTCGGTCACAGCAGCCACCGGCAGCGGCAGGAGGTGGAGAAGGAGCTGGACTCCCTGCATGACCGCATCGCTGAACTGGAACACGGTGGGTCCTGGGCCCCGCAGGGGGCAGAGCAGGCCAGGCCTGGGTCCTCGAGGTGGCAGACTCACTGGAGAAGCGTTTTCTTGTTCTCCGGAGGCTAAAGATAGGCCAGTGGGGAGGAGGCTGTGAAACACGAGAGGGCGGGTGTAATTGGTGGCTATATTATCATCATTATTCTTATTTTCTAACACGTCGTGTATCGGGAGTGGGCTGAGGAGTTGACACATCAGGTGGCTTACTCCTCCCAAACCACTGGGGATGGTACTGCTGTGTCTCCACTTCACAGACGAGGAACTGAGGTTCAGAGGGGTCAAGTGACCTACCCACGGTCACACAGCCAGTAAGGAGTGGGTCTAGCTTTCAGACCAGGTCTGACTCCAAAGTCCGTACATTTAACCACTCCACAAAAGAGCACCTTCAATGAATCAGAAACCTGTCGTTTAACACCTGGGCCTGGCACCTGCCAAGGGGTCAGGAACACATGAGGTAATATCCAGTGAACGGCCGTGACCAACAGGAGACCGAGTTCCTGGTTCCCCAGCTGTCATGGACTTGCTCTGTGACTTTGGGTGTTTGCTTCCTTTCCCCAGGCCTCATTTTCCTCCTCTGAGAAGTGCAGCTTTAGGGCTCATGAGCCCTCAGGGACTTTTCATCTTTGAAACCTTGTGAGGATCACCCTTAAGAGGCTTATTGACAAGATGGGGTTCCAGGGAAAATCATGAGCAATTGGCTGGGACCAATTTAGATATCAGACAGGAGTTCTGGAGAAAGAAATCCAGGAGGCTTCCTGGAGGAGGGAGGCCTCAAGCTCGTCTGAAAGCAGAGGTGAAGAGTGAATTTTGGAGTGACGGATCTGCAGCAGGGGCACAGCTGAAGGGAGGTATAGCAGGTCTAGGGACTAGTAGCCCCCATTCTGAAGTATGCCCTGCCCACCCGCCCTCACCAGTGTCCACTGACACCCCCTGGTTCCACTTTGCCTGCCCCTTTCAGGGTCCTCCATCTATAGCCCCCCTGATGCCTTCAAGATCAGCATCCCCATTCGCAACAACTACATGTACGCCCGAGTGCGGAAGGCACTGCCCGAGCTGTACGCCTTCACCGTCTGCATGTGGCTGCGGTCCAGGTCAGGGGGCACTGGCCAGGGCACCCCCTTCTCCTACTCGGTGCCGGGGCAGGCCAATGAGATTGTGCTGCTGGAGTCGGGCCACGACCCCATGGAGCTGCTGATCAATGACAAGGTCAGTGGGGGTGGGCAGAGCTGGAGAGATGGGGGCCAGGGGTCACCCTTCCAGGAACACCACCCTGTGCTGGGCCCCATGTGTGTGGGCCCTTTACGTTCTCCTGCCCACACACCATGCCAGGCTGGGGTCTGGAAACAGTGACAGGCCAGATCTGGGGCTGGCTGAAGAGGGACTTGTGTCCATGAGAGGCTGTAAGTGTGGCATTCCGCTTACAGGGGAGGCATGTGAAGCTCACAGAAATTCTGTGACTTCCCCAAGGACCTACCTATGGAGAGGCACTTCCCAGAACCCACTGAAATCCTGCTTAGCAGGAGGTGCCTCTTCTGGGTGCCCCAGAAGAGGAGGAAGGAGGTGGGCCCAGCGGGCAGTGACTTTTTTCTGCGACCCAGTCGGTCCTGAGAAGACCTGGGAAGGTGGACTGCATCTAGATCCCACTAACCCTGTTCCCCTGCCACACTCCCGGGCTGCCGCCCTGAGCCCCGCCCACAGTCAGCCCTCAGTTCTGAGCAGAAATTCAGCACCCTGGACAGGACACAGCGAACCCATCCCAGGAACCTCTGGAGTCCCAGCGCCAACCTCCAAGGCTACTGGCAGTTCCCCTTGTATTCCAGCCTCTAAGCGTTTGCTCCCGCTGTGCTCCCCACGTGGTTTGCCTTGCAGCGGACGGTCAGAGTCCATTGCCATCCAGATGTGCTTAGTCTCCATGTCTCCTGTTTCCACAGCCCCGCCTTCCTCTGGACCTTTATTGCCTCTGCACATCCTGCATGGCCCCCGTGTTATTTTGTCCCTGAAGCCCTTCCCTCCTGTACAGACTCAGCTCATTTGCAGCTAGGACCAGATTCATATCCCCAGTGTCCAGAACTAGACCTGACATCAAGTAGGCTTCAGAGAATGTTACATTATATCGTGATCTCAGAGAGCAGGAGACAAAAGAGCCCTTTGGGAGCTCCAAATTCACAGGCAGCAAGTGCCCTTCATCTGACTGGCAAACGCTAACCAGTCAGCAGCAGCTTCGGAAGATTCTAAGGCTGAGTCTGAGCTCATGATTGATTAGCCATGTCTGCCTTGGGTAGCTGAGGCAGAGGTGACTGCACGTTTGCCATCCCTTGCCTGACCTCCTCACTTTACGGATGAGGAAGCCGAGGCCAGGGAGGAAAGTGCAGCCTCCCCTGCTCCCACAGGGGGTCAGTTGGCAGAGCCAGGGCCGGCCTGAGTCCAAGGCAAGCTCTACCACTGCCCGTACTTCTTGAGCCAGCTGTGTGCCAGGCACCATGTGAGATGTTCGGGGGGAGATAGGCTTAGAGACACAGCACCCGCCCCACGTGATCTGGCCAGCCTGTTAGTGACGAAACTACCTGGAGACAAAGAGAACCAAACCTTCACTGACTAGTCCCTTGTGATCTGATTGAAGCTGCCTGGTCAGGTCGGGCAAAGAGGAGAGAGTGGCGGGGAAAGGCTCTGGGCTGGGAGGAAGGGGAGGGCCCAGCCTCGAGTCGGTCCCTGGAAGGAAGGACATGGTCCCCTCACCCCGGTGCTCCAGCCTCGGGCCTTGTGACCTCTGATCTGGAGCTGCGGAATCTGTGTCCAGGTGGCCCAGCTGCCCCTGAGCCTGAGGGACAATGGCTGGCACCACATCTGCATCGCCTGGACCACGAGGGACGGCCTGTGGTCTGCCTACCAGGACGGGGAGCTGCGGGGCTCCGGTGAGAACCTGGCTGCCTGGCACCCCATCAAGCCTCATGGGATCCTTATTCTGGGCCAAGAGCAGGTATGGCTCAGGGGTATCGGGGCCTGAGCCCCAAGTGGATGTCCCACCCCACCCAGGGCCCCTGAGGAGGAAGGGCTAGGTGGAGGGTCCCTGAAGGTGCAGCAGTGATCACTCATTCTGACCCAGCCATGCTACAGATGGTGGGGCAGACCGGGACACTGGCAGGGCAGAGACACGCCCAAGGGGCTAGAGCCTTAGGGGTGGGGCTACAGCTGTGGGGGCGGGGCTAGAACCGCGGGGGCGGGGCCTCAGCTAGATATGGGGGTTGGGGAGCCCTGACCCCGAGTCTTCCTGTCTATCTGTTCTGCTCTTTCACCCCATGTCTCTCTCCTTTTTCTCTGCTCTCTTCATCCAGGATACCCTGGGAGGCCGGTTTGATGCCACCCAGGCCTTTGTGGGTGACATTGCTCAGTTTAACCTGTGGGACCACGCCCTGACACCTGCCCAGGTCCTGGGCATTGCCAACTGCACTGCGCCACTGCTGGGCAATGTCCTACCCTGGGGAGACAAGCTGGTGGAGGCTTTTGGGGGTGCAACGAAGGCCGCCTTTGATGTCTGCAAGGGGAGGGCGAAGGCATGAGGGGCCACCTCCTCCAGGGCCCCTCCCTTGACTGCCAAACTGGGGACCTTACAGGAGGGGGGTGCCTTCCCTCTCAGCCTATCCACACACTGGCCTCCCCTCCTGCTCCACTCCTGGCCATGCCTCTCGTTTCCCAGCCCCCCCTGCCCACGGCTCCAGAATGCCCTTCCCCTGTGATGGCTGTGATCCCGCCTGGATGGGGACAAACAGCTCAAGTCAATAGGCCAAGCCCGGGCTGGGGAGCAGTGCCCGTGGGTCCGCCCACCGTCCTGGCATTACGCCCCAGCCATCCCCTGACCCCGCCACGCTCCATCAACCACATCCGATTCCACCGATGCCAACAGCATCTCCATGGGGCTGTGTATGAGGGAGCAGCCACTATCTCAGTGGCAGGGAGGCCGTCCACCCCTGTCCCCATGTACCTTCCTCTTCAGGGCCACAGCAGGCTGTAGAGCGTCCCTCCAGCAGAGGAGGGGATGACAGGGACATGGGAGACTCAGACTCATCCCTCCTCCATCTTCCCACCAGCTGACAGTCAAGGGTAGTGGGGTCTTAGTGGACCCTCTCCCCCACAGCTCCCACCCGCACCCCCATCTCTCTCTTCCTCCTCTTTCCTCGTTTCTTTGTGTACAGCGGGTTGAATGTTGGTTCCATGCCCGTCCCAACCCCACCTCAGTTTCCAGGACATTTCTTCCCGAGCTCTAGCCTGGAGGGTTAGGGACCAAGACCCCCACACAGCTGTGTCCACTGCTGGCATGGTCACTTCTTCCCCTCTGTGGCCGGGACAGGGCCTGGGCCACTCCAGCCTGAGCTGGAAGCAGCATGAGGCAGAGGCTCTGTGCCCCAGGGGACCCACGCCCCCTCAGCGTGGCCCTGCAGCCTCCAAGGAAGGAAGGAGCTGAGTGAGCAGGGAGAAGCATGGAGGGGCGTGCAGTGCTGTATGGGAGGGAGCAGCCCTGGTCCAGCCAGCTCTGCTGTGTGGCCTTCTCCAAGTCCCTGCCCTCTCTGGGCTAGCCTGCCTTCCTCTGAGAAGACATGAGATAGTCTGTGATTTCAGGTGGATAAGGTAGAGCAAACCTGACAACTTCCCTGGTGACCAAAAGGCATCACAAGGGCAGGACCTGGGACTGGGTAGCACGTAGGGTCTGGCTAGGCAAGGGTCAGGGTCAGCAGCTGGCTCCAGAGGGTTAGAGGAGAGGGCTGGGAGCAAGGCAGACCAACCTCACATGCAGATTATAAAAAGCAGCTCTTCTGGGTACGCCCCCCCACAGCCTGGCACTGTTGCCTGAGTGTGTCTCAGTGGGCCAGTGGCTACCCATCCCTACCCTTGAGTCCTCACCAGCTTCCCCAAGAGAGTAGAAGAATGTCAGAGCTGAGAATGCCAGTCCGGTCCCTACTTGTGCAGATAGGGAAGAGCTCAGAGAGGGCAAGTGACTTGCACAGGATCACCCAGCACCACGGGGCAGAGCCAGGACTAGGACCCAGTGCTCTGGCTCCCTCTTCAGTGCTCTTCCCCCCGCACCATTCTGCCTGCCCCCAGGGGTCTGAGTGTGGCCCACACCTGGTGGGTGGGCATTGGAGAGATCAGAACGCTTTCAGAAATGACCACTGGAACATCGCCCTTTATGAAATACATCTTGGCATCCCTTCCCCCCTGGGAGGCATGGTCCCGGGCACCCTGGCAGGAATGGAGAGCTGAGAACACAGGGGCCCCTTTGCTGCCAGCCACTGACCCGGTCTGTGCAGCGACAAGCTCCCTGACTCGGTGGGCGCGAGTGCATTTTGCCCCGTTTTGTTCCCTGCCTCTGCACCCCACTGCCACCCAGCCTGAGGCCAGTGTAAGGGCTGGGGCACTGGAGGCTTTACCGAGACTGTGGCCTCCGGCCCCCGGATCCTTGCTTCCGTTTCAAGAGCACAAGCAGACCTTTCAGCACCTCGGGCCCAACTCCCTTCAGAAGGACGTAGGAGAATGGGCCATGGCGCCTCAGCCAGAACCTGCTGAGATCTTGGTTGCCTGGTAACAGCCAATGACATCAGCTCTCGTGCTGGGTCAAGTGTCTCACAGTGACATCCCCTGTTGCTGGGGTGATGGCGGTATTTGGAACTTAGATTTCAGGGACACTGGATGCTGGGCTTTGTCGGGTCTCTCTTTTTGTTTTTAAGGAAGCAGCTTTTGTGGAGGGTGTGGGGGCAAGACAGGGTCTTAGGATAGAGGTGGCGGAGCGTGGGTGATCACTTGAGCCCACCCAGAAAATGCCCCAAGTCCTTTATGCTCTGTCACAGTCATGATGAGACACTTGATGCACCTGGTCAGCCCTCCGGAAGGAGCAGGAGCAAACTGAAGGTGTCGGGGTGTGGGCTCTGAGTCCGGGCCGTGGTGAGTGGCCTGGGTGCCCATTTCTGTCCCAGAAAACTGAAAGCTCCATAGGCCCGGCCCCTTCATACAGGGCCGCGGGCCTGCTGTTTGGGCTCCAGCTTCGATCTTCAGCTGCTCCTGTCGCACAGCGATGCTGGTGCTGTTTGTTACGTCCTTTGTAAGTGTCAGGCGCTATGCTGAGCACCTGGCGGGCACTGTCTCGTCCATTCTCCCGGTGCTGGGACTGTTCTTAGCCCCATCGCACACGTGAGGAAGCAGGAGCACAGAGAGGTTAAGTAACCTGCCCGGTGTCCATCAGCCAGCCCAGAGTTCAGACTAAAAGCAGGTTACTTCAAGAGCCCACCCTCAGCCCAAGGGGATAGTCACCCCACACCCTGGAGTGGGATTCGGGCATCATTGCTCTTGGTGGGTTTTGGCCTGAAGGGATGCGCCTGACCCTCTTCACCGCCCCTGAGAGTTTGTGGTGGAGGAACAGAGGCCCCAGGGCCAGGGTCCCATGGGGGGGGGGCTTTGGGAGGGGTCTCAGTCCCTTTAGGGAACTCTTCCCTCTGCAGTGCCCCCCACCCCTGATCCACCAACGGGAGATTCCGGGAGAGCTAAAAGGTGACCGGTCTGAGAGCCCCCGCAGGGGAGGGGAGGAAGCGTCTCTCAGACCCGGGCCTCGGGCCAGGCCCGCTCCAGGTGCTCCACAGCTGTTACCTGCCAGCCTTCCCCGCCTCTGTGGCATGTCATGCCCCTGGTCAACCTCCCAAGGGGACAGACCACCTTGCCACAATTGTGCGAGATCTTGGTCCACAGATTTGGACAGAAGGGTTCTTAGAGGGGGTTGAAGCCCTCACCTTACTCGTGAGGACAGTGGGACCACCCAGCCGGGACCCCGGGAGCCCCGAACGCAGCTTTCTGACTCTACATTAAGTGCTGTCTCCACAACACGTGGCCCCCTCTCTCCAGAACTGCCCCCCCTTTTCTGTTTCCATGAACCCTCGCCCTGAACAAACTAGGGAAGGGGCCCCCTCCCAGACATGGGATCATTTTCTTTACCTCCTTTGTCCCAGCTGCCAGCTACCCCAAGCCCTCCCTCCCCCCTGACCCCTGACCTCTGACCCTGATGCGTGGAGAAGAGGCACGCGTGGGCCCAGGCTGAGCAGTGAGCGAGCATGCCGAGCTGATGGACACTGTGAAGTTAGTGCACCCTACCGGTGACCCGCCCCCTGCTGTCCTCCCGGCCCAGTTTTGTACATAAAGTGACATGAGATGCAATGTGTGTGTGTGCGTGTGTGTGTGTGTGTGTGTGTGATACATCATGGATTTTTGTTACTTTTATGTTTTTGTAAATTTGAATGTTTAAAATAAACACGATGTTTAACTCCGAGGCTCTTCTCGCCAGGCTGGGGCCCCCCTGGGAGGGGGCAACGCAGGGCAGGAAGGAGGCAGCTACTTGGGGCAGGGCCGTGGGCAGAGACAGGAGGTGCCGCCTTGGTACCTCACGAACCCCACCTGCCCCCCACAACCTGGCAGGTTCTGCCAGGACCCAGGTGCAGACGTCCCCGCTCCCCAGGATTTATGCAGCAAGAATGTAAAGAACACAAGTCCCACGTGGAATGTGTCCCAGTTCTGATAACTGGCCTCCTTCCTAATGCCCCGTCCCACCTCGTGCCCCAGTTCTGGGGACAGGTCCCGGACTTGTTCCCTGAGACCCGATCTGCCGGGGTCACTCGCCAGACCCCCCGGAGTGGTGCCTCCCCTGGAATCCTGGGCAGGTGGGGGAGGGGAAAGGAAGTCGGCCCTGGGGTACAAGGTCAGTCCAGAAGGTATCCAGCCATGTATAGAGAAACAGAGACGTTTACTGAAGGAGATATGAGATACAAGAAACACCGAACGCAATGACACCTCAGTCCCCTTCAAAGTAGGCACCTTGGGACCTCCTCACGCAGTTCTCCCATCAACTGCCTGGTTGTGTTTTCCTGAATCTCATTGACAGTCTGAAATCTCTTCCTTTTCAAAGGTGATTTTAGTTTTGGGAAAAGCCAGAAGTCACAGGGGGCCAAATCTGGTCTGTAGGGGGCTGAGTCACCTGGGTGATCTGATGTTTCGCCAAAAAACTCGGCACAAGACACGATGCACGAGCGAGCATGTTGTTGTGCTGAAGCTGCCAATCACCAGGCGCCTGTAGCAGCGGCCTCCTGAGTCATCCGAACAGTTTCCACGGAGTGATGTTCAAGCTTAATGCAAGGTCTGATGCAGATTCATTGCTCTGCTAGCTCAGTCATTTTTAATGTGACGGCCACACAGTGCACATGCTCACTCAAGGGCGTCTACCATCCCCACTGACTGGCACAGTGAAGTCTTCATGGCGCACCCATGAGCATTCCAGTCCTCTCTCCTTGGCTGCCAGGTTACATTCATGTCACGCAAACCATTCTCGTTATATTAACAATGGCTGGACTTTCTCCAGAAAGACCTCGTATTTCAACCCTTTCCCTCCCTGTGGTCTACCTGGACACCTCTGACTCACTGGCCTCTAAACTGGACTCTCTGACAGCCCCCTGTCCACCCCCCAGCACCACCCATCCCTGGGGGGCCTCCATCAAGTCCCCAGCCCTCCCCGTCCACACCATCTGAGGGACACAGCCTCCACCCTCCTGCTCCATCACAGTGGCACTGGACCTTGCCCTCGGCTGGCCCCTGGGAACTGCCAGGGGGCCAGTCAGCAGTCAAGGGGACACACCAGCAAGACGAGCCTTCCCAGACTTTTCCAAAGCTCCCCAACTTTCAGCAAGAGTGAATTCACCCCACGACGACCAGCGGAAATGCTGGAAGCGCACTTCAAACCGGGCAACCGTGTTGAGTTATGTGAGAAATCACGTGCTTTCTTCACTCTACTCCAGAATGAACCCAGATTTGTTTTTGAATATTGTTTTTAATTACTTACTATTGAGCACACTTAAGCTTCAGGCCACTATGCCTTGTTTATCCTCTCACTCCGATTCACTTACAAACACCCTCCCTATGTCCCCCTCAGCTGGCACGTCCCCCCGCTTCTGGCCGTACCTGCACAGGAGAAGCACAGGGCTGTGGAGCGTGCTGACCCTCCTGCCAGATGCACGGCCAGGGGGCCCTGAGGGGCGCTTCTCCCTGCCCTGCAACCTTAGCACACTTTTCCACGTGAGGGTTTGCTCTCCAAAATGACTAAAAACACCCACCCGGTTTTCCTCCCACCTCAGTGGCTCTCAACCCTCAGCCTGCACCACAGTCACCTCCTTCAAGCACCAACTGCTGGGCTCCAGCCCTAGAGCTTCCGCGGCAGGAGGTCCGGGGTGGGACCTGACCTTCTGCATTTCCAGCAAGGCCACGGTGGTGCTGTGGGGGCTGGGCCGCCCTCCGCTTCCCTGGGTGCAGCTTCTCAGGCTCCTCAAAACCCCGCCCCGTCTCCCTGGCCTCTGAGTCCTGCGGTTCCTCCGGGTGCAGTCCTGGGTCTCATTCTCTCTGGACCCTCTCCCCAGGAAACCTCACCCAGGCCCACAGCTTGAACCACCTGGCGACTTTCAAACACTGACCCTTCCTAGGCCTTTTCCTGAACTCCATGTGGGCATGTCCTGGTTGCCTAAGAGGAGTCTCAAAAGTAATGTACCCCAAACTCTGGGTCCCCCTCTACTTGGACCCCAGTCGTCTGCTTAGGTAGACTCGTCATCTTCCAGTCACTGGCTTCGCGCACGCTCCTGCCCATCTGACTCAGTCCGCCGCCTCTGACTCTGCCACAAGAGCCAATCTCCCACCTGTGTGCTCCTCCGCACTTCCGCCACCACTCTGTTCCCACTCCATGCAGCCCCCCGAACGACCGTGTTGCAGTGAAAGAGTCATTCCCTTCCGTAAAACTCCCCACAGCTCTCCAGGACACCAAGGGGGACAGCCCTGTGAGACCTGGCCCCAGTCCGCCTCGCAACATCTCATGCACTAACTCTCTCCTTTCCCGCCATGAGCTCCTGGGACACATGAGCTCTGTCCATCCCTCGGGTGTAGCCACATTCAGGGGCTGACCCTCGCTCTTCCCTCAGCCTGGAACGCACGGTCCCTTAGTTCTCTGCGACTGGCTCCTTTTTGTCACTCAGGTGTCAGCTTGACACACAGAAGTTTCGCTGACCCTCGCACCTTACGGAGGCTCCCGGTCACTCTCTGATGGCTTCCTTGGCCTGGTCACTCTCTGCTATTCACCATGTCCTCTTGTGACCCCAGAATTGTAAATAAAGCCTTTCCTACTCATCCGGGACCCAAACCTGTTGGGGTCACCTGCTCCATCAGCCTTTTTAATTCTCTCCACAGCACACCCCTCTCTTTAATAATAAACTTGCTTGTTTACTTTGAACGGTAAGTCATTCAGCATGTCAGCTCCATGACAGAAGGGACCATATTTGCCTTTTCGCCACTGTGTATATATATCCAGCACCCAGCACAGAGTAGGGCTTGACATGCATTTGCTGAATACTAATAACCGATACCTTTTGGGTACTGACTATGTGCCAGGCATTCACTGCTCTGATCACCTGATGTACATGTATCAGTTCAATTGAATCCTGTGAGGGCCACTTGTCTAAGGTCACATGGCTGGGAAGCGGCAACACTGGGGTTCTAATCCGGTTGGACTCCAGAGCAAGCACTCAGACACCACGCTACATAGTCTGAGGTTTCAAATTCCCCTTGGCCCTTCAGGCACGTCAAAACACGGTTTTAAGAAACGGCCCTGGCTGGTGTGGTTCAGTGGATTGGCACCGGCCTGCAAACCAAAGGGTCACCAGTTTGAGTCCCCGTCAGGGCACATACACGGTTTGCAGGCCAGATCCCCGGTGTGGGTCGTGCGAGAGACACAAAAGCTGATGTAGGAGACTTCCGTTGCTGGCCCACTCTCCCACCGAGAAAACCTAGAGAAACCAAACACCATATTGAAAACATCCAAGGAAGCCATCAGAGAGGTACCGAGATAGCTGAGAAACGACCAAGACCCCATAGAGAAGAGGAGTTCAGAGAGGTGAACCTGACTTTGGGGCTCCATTTGCCTCTTGAGGCACCTGCCTACTCACAGCACGTATCTAAGTGGAGCAGAGAGCACCGCCCCCAAGCAGCTGGTAATGTGTTCAAGAAATTATATGGCAAATAGAAGCTCAGAGTCCAGCCAGAAACTGAAGTTTAGGATAAGGGACTCGGGGCAGACAACCCCGACTCCCAGTGGGACCCCAAAGGGCTGCAGCCTTGGAGTGGGGTGAGTTGGAAACGTTCCCCCAGAAACCGAATCCCGGCTCCCAATCCTCTCATTGACTGATGGCACTGAAGTGTCTGCCCCTTGATGAAGACCCCACCAAAAGCTAAAGGGAATTCCCTCCGGAGGAAGATAATGACATCACTCAAACTCTCATTATGTTTTTGGTACACGAGGTTTGGCCAGTGAAGAAATTATTAGACATACCTGGGGCCAAAAAGGAATGACTGCAAACTGAGAGAGAAAAAATTTGAAGGCCAGTAGGCCTACACATATGTGAAAATTGCGTGGACATAAATAAACACACGTACATACATGAGTCGTCCAGGGAAATCCGAATAATATGGCACCGACATCAGTACCCTGGGTGTGATGCTGAACTCATTCTGCAGGCTGCTGCCCCCGGGGGTGACTGGATAACGAGCACGTGGAGTTGCTCTGCATTATTTTTATGACTGACTGTGCACCTATGATTATCTCAAAATTCAAAGTCAAATTTTAGAAAGATCTTTGTAGGAGACCCATATGGTAGAGTTAAAAGACCCAGACTTAAAAATTGTTATGGTTAACATATCCAAGAATTTAGATGGCAAAAAGAATTTCAACTGAACTGTAAACTATAAAAAATAATCAAATGAAAGCTCTAAAACTGAAAAAAAAAACATTAACTGCACTTGTGAGCTCAGTAAATAGGTTTAACGGCAGATTAGACACAGCGGAGGAATGAATTTATGAACTCCGTTAGAGAGACCAAGAGAAATGATCCAGAATAAAGAATGAGGGAAAAGAACAGAAAGCGCAGGGGAACGTAAGATTAATACGTGACATAGAGGAAAGGCCTAACGTGTGTGAGGAGCTCCAGAGGAAGCGAAGAGAGCAAATAGGACGGAAATAATATTGGAATAAAAACTGCCTGAGAATTTTCCAAAAACCATTGAAAGACATAATTAAGTCACAGGTTGAAGAATCTCAAGGAACTCCAGACATGAGAAATGCAAAAGAAAAAAAACCACACACACAACTAGGACTTTGATAGTGGAACAGCTATAAATCAAAGACAAACAAACAAAAAACTCAAACGGTGCCCTGGCCAATGTG